TCGTGAGAAACCCGGCATACAGTTTGGCGATTGTTCGACCAAGGGCAATGGGTCGCCAGTTTGTAGGATCCTCACGGTCGCCCTTTTTGTAAATCAGGATAGTCCTCGATGATTTCCAGCTCTGGTGTGTGCGGCGGTGTAAGAGGCAGACGTTGAACACAACCGCCAGGAACCGCCCGTCAGGATCCACCTGCCTCCAGTGATGGTAGGTCAGACGGTCCTCCCCAGGAGCTGTGCTTTCGCACCTTCAGAGCTTGGCTGCGACTTCATCTGGCAGGAAGGGGGCACGTATCCATCTCCTCTGTCATGGGGGCTCGTGACCTGAGAAGCGTAGTGTCCACGGCCACGGGGCCCAGAGTTCCATGAAGTGGCCTTGAAGGGTGCCTGCATTGATAGGGCAGAGCTCGGACGGGGCCTCCGCAATGAGGCGGACGGCCCGTCGCCGGTTTCTCCTGTAAAGTCTCTGTATCAGAGAAGCATTGTCGGGGTTTATCTCACGCCGAGATGGTGTTTGGCACGAGCCCCGACAGGGCAGCCGAAGATGGCCAATGATGGCTGCCTCGGCGCGGTCCAGGATGGGCTCGACCGCGCCCACCGCTCCTCCGACACAGGGCCCCGGCCAATGTCACGTAGCTCTGCCGTCACCTCCGCCAGGAACCAGGCACTCTCGGGCCCCAGGGTGTCAGCTGCCTCATCCTGTGTTGCATAGTGGCTGCCGGTGACGTCGCCATGGGGCGCTGTCGGGTCGGCGGGTACTCGCCCCGCTTCGTCAAGGTTGTTGCTTGCGAGTCTCGTCACCTGCTCAGTAGGCGCCGGCAACTCGACGACGCGCTCCATCTGCTGGTCAGCTGGCTCCTCGGTGTCGTCCGCAGCTGGGCTGGCGTACTCCTCCGAAGAGCTGAAGTCATCGCCTGCAGGTACTGACTGCCTGGTTGGCATCACCACCTGGTTGGTCGTCACCCGCATTATCCGCCTGGCGCACAGGCGCGCTCTCCGTGCCGTCCTCCTCTGGAAAGTCACGGAACAGCCGACTCGTCGAGACGACGGGCGTCGCTCCGTGTGCAAGCTCCCCCAGAGCCCCATCTCCGTCCATAGGAGCAGAAGGTGGGACTTCCTGTGAGGGAGGCCCGGTTACGGTGCTTGGGGCAGGAGGGCGTTGGTCCGCCATCAGCTCGCTTTCAACCTGCGTGGGTGAAACCGCCGACGAAAGGGGGGGATGTGGGGGTGTAGCAGTTCAAGTAGGAGCTGATGGGGTGACGTCCTGGTGCCCCCTGCACGGCAGGACTCTCCTGAAGGACCGGCTACAGCGGCTGCTGGTGGTGGACCAGCGGTAGCGTTTTGCCAGGCCAGGAGTGCCTCCTCCCTCCGGTGCCGTTGCTCATGGTTGTAGAGCCCCTTTTTTGACGTGAAGGAGCTCGAGCAGGTCGGGCACTGGTGCCAGTGAGGGGGGGGGAGGGGCAGCAGCTGGGAGGTTCACCAAGCAGCCGTGGGTTGTCGGCCGTTTCCGCAGCGTTGCGCTGCAAATGGTACAATGGTAGACCGTCCGGGTTATCCGTACGCCATCTCCCCCTCGAGTGCCGCTGCAACGACTGGCGGCGCCACGTCCACACTTCTGGATATTAGGCGGTCGCGCAGCCCTCCTCGCAGCATTGAAACGTCGCCGAGAGTGAAAAGAAGAGCGTGAGGGTGGTACCCTCACGCTCAGGCTGTCGCTCCTGGACGGGAGGGTGCCGTCGTCCTCGCTGTCATCGGGAGCAGAATTGCCCCGGAGGCCATGTTCCAGCGGCCCCGCTAGGCGGGACGGCAGAAGGTCAGGACGGCCTCATGGGACACGGCGACCGCTGGTCTGGGAAAGTCCCCGGGAGCAGCGGCAGGGAGGCCGGCAGGGCGACCACATGGCTGGCGAGGCGTCGGAGCAGCAGGCGGGAGCAGAGGGCAAGCAGGCGGCCCCGGGCGGAAGCGGCGAGCAAGCGCCACTGGGCAGGCGGCGAGCAGGCAGCAGGCGGGACCAAGCAGCGGAGCGGGCGGCGAGGCCAGCGACGAGCGAGTGCCGCTGGGTAGGCGGCGAGGCGGAGAGCGGACCCAGGCAGCAGGCGGCGGAGCGAGCGGCGAGACCAGGCGAGCAGGACCGGGCGGCGACGGCAGCAAAGGACCAGGCAGGCAGGCAGCAATCCAGGCAGCAGTAGGCAGCAGTAGGCAGCAGACACCCAAGAGCAGTGGTAGCCGTGGATAGGGCTGGGTGAGGGAAGGGAGAAAAGACGCGCTGTAACCGGGCGGGTTCCGGTTGCTTCCACGAAGATCAAAAGTGCAGGGCGGTCAAGCCACACGACTACACAAAGAGAAGTTTGTTTAACTTCAAACAAGGAAGCGCTCACATCACGATGTGTACATAATACGCAGCCATAATTTGGCCGGACACAATTCACAAACGCAGACTAGAAGGCACAGTTGGCCATTGAAAAAAGAACAGGGCGCTTGTTAACATATATACACTATGTACAGTTTTTTCCCACGCGTACGAATCTACATGTGCAATATACATATATTACACAAAGGAAAGCTTATTGGCGTCACACATAAAAAAAAACAACTACATCAGTCAGCAGATGCAAGGCATACAGCTTGCGCCGCCGCCATTTAGTTTCTTGAGCGGGCGTGAGGGCAGTGAAGTGCCTTAAAAAGGGGTCACTGGTAGGCGCAGTTTTTCCTTCTGTATTAGAAAGAACCTCGTGTGCCAGCGACGCAGGAACTTATCCTCGCCATTGGTTTCGAGCTGCTCCGAAAGGAACCGCCACAGAACCTGGCGGATCCTCGCAACCGCTGGGAAGGCTGCCCTTTCCGGCTTGTGCCGTGCTTCCGCCAAGCATCGCTGCTTCCATAGAACAAAAAGCGTGCACGCCACCACCAGCTTGGCGAAGGAGCTCTTGTTCCTTCTGAGTGCCGGCGGGGGAGCTCTCTCGTGATTAAGCGCCACACTGGCTTAACTGCCGGGCACTCATACAGGGCGTGCGCCGAGGTTTCGCCGGCGCGACAGTTGGGGCAACGAGGGGAAGGCACTATGCCTAACCTGTGTAGACGTTGGCGGGTTGGGAGGGCGTCCCAGTTCTTGCGCCACATAAAATCTTGTGCGGGTTTTGGAATCGCCCGCCCGTCCCTAGACGTTTTGCTTTTCCACTTCCTTGACCGCACACGCTCCTCCGGGGTGATCTGGTGCCACGCGATGTCTTCCGCAATGCGGGCGGGCGGGGTTTCGTCAACGTCGCAATCAGAGGCCTCTTTTTTTCACATCCACATTGTGTTTGCAGCGGCCCTATAGAAATTCGAAGGCGTTCCCCCGATTGGTGCCAGGGGTCGATCAGCGTTCAGAAAGGTGGCGTTTGTGCTGCACCAGTAACGCATCATGTTCCCGCCCACGTACTCCGTTGTCTTGAACAGTGCTCTTGCTGTTTTCAAGGCTAGCACTTTGCTAGTGATGAGCACGTGGGTGAGACTGAGACCGCCTTCATTCGATTGAGGTGGAGCAGGGTGCGACGGATTGGCGGCGGTTTGCCATCCCAAAGGAAGCGCCGATCATCTTCGTGAGCCGCGTGGCCGTCTTGGTGGGCATCACGGCAATTCGACTAACGTAATACGCGAAGGCGCAGATGGTCGTCGTGGCCGCTAGGGCCCTCTCGCGTATCGTCAAGTCTACGTTTCAGGCGGTCAATTGCCCCCTGGGCCCACTCCTGCGCGCGCCTCCAGGTAGTCGCCGCCACACCGCTACTGCAGAAATATATGCCGAGCACCTTGACGGCGTCCACAGCGGTCAGTTCGCCAAGTGCTCTATGAGGGAAGGTCCCAAAAGGAAGGGCTCTACACTTATCCAAGTTAAGCTGGGCACGTGACACGTTAGCGTAGGGCATGAACGTCTGCCAGAAGGCCTCCAAGCTTGCTGGGTCTCTTATGAATAGGGATACATCGTCAGCGTAGGCCAGGACTTTGATCGCAGCTTCACCCATCAATGGAAAACCTCTGATGTAGTCGTTGCGGTCGATCGTGGTTAGGAGTGGCTCGAGCGTAAGGATGAAAAGGGTGAGCCCGAGTAGGCATCCCTGTCAAATGCCTCGCGCATGCTCGAAATATGGCGTGAGGTCTCCGTTCACCACAACTCGACCAGACAGGTTACTGTACAGCGTAACGATGACGTCCACGAAGCTTGCCGGGAGGCCGAGCTGACGTAAGACTTCGAACATGTACTGGTGTTTGACGCGATCGAAGGCTTTTGCCTGGTCTAAAGATATGAAGGCCCCCGATAAGAACTTTGTTGACATGTATTCAAACACGCCTCTTGCCACCGTTAGATTTGCAACTATTGAGCGGCCCGGGACCGCACAGGACTGCTGTGGTGAGACCATGGCGTGCAAGAAGGGTCTGAGGCAACTGTTCAGCAAGGAGGCCACTATCTTATAGTCCACATTAAGTAATGTGACTGGGCGCCAGGCCGACAGATTCTCTTGCTGAGCGCCCTCCTTAAGGAGTAACACAATCCTACCCTCGCCGAATGAGGGAGGTTTTAGGTGTCGCGAGAGCACCATGTTTGCCATGTGTAGGAGGACGCCCTTCACTTCGTCAAAGAAGGTGGAATAGAAGTTCGCTGTGAGACCGTCTGAGCCTGGTGCTGAGTTCGGTGGCATACTCATCACAGCCATCTTCACTTCTTCCTGCGACGCCTCATTGCTCATCGATTCAGTCTCGTCCTGCGTCAAGCGAGCAAGGTGCTGGCATATCTCTGCCGTTTAGCGCTTCGAGTCCAGTGTACTTTCCCGGTCTGCTTCCCGGAAGAGGGCAGCGAAGTAGTCGTGGAAAGTAGTTCTCATCTCGTCTGCGTCCGTGGGGGATGAGCAATCTGGGCGCCTCACGCTCGTAATGCGGATCTGACCATTGCCGGCTGTGTCGTTGGGGTCTGCCTCAAGATCGTTAAATGTCTCGTCCCGCTCTCTCGATGGTCTGGGTGCGCGTTGTTAGAGCAGGCGGGTGGACTCAACCTCCAACGTGTTTAAGTAGCCCCGCGTGCAAGTTGTTAGGGTATCCGCCTCTCTAATGATGCGGATCCGGCGTAGGATCTCGTTAAGCCTTGCTGTGGTGCGGCGCTTCCTGGCTTTCCCCTCCTCTTGGAGGATTCTCCTCCATTCTGCTTTCAAAGCATCCCAGGAATCCAGTGTCACTTCTGGGGCGTTTGCAACGGAGGCTCTCAGGCGCTCTCTTATGCTCTCGGTGCTGATTTCATCCCTCAGAAGAGCAGAGTCGAGTCGCCAGTGTTGGTTGTCGTTACGGGTTCCGGGGTAGCTTTTCAATGTGGTGACGAGGGGCAGGTGATCTGAGCAGCTCGCCAAGTCAGCAGGTGGGGACAGAACCTCGCACGCCACTACCAATGAAAGGAGAAAGTCGGGTAGATACGTCCGGTCAATACGAGACGCGTTCAGCTGAGAAGCACGCGTCGAAACAAAGAGGTCTCCACGTGCGTGTAACAACACATCAGTTAGACACTTGTGTCTCAAGATCCCGACTAGCTCCTTTGCATGGTACGCGGACGCCCCACGGCCTGGTCCTCAAATGTCTCGCTGTGTGTCGACCATGCAATTGAAATCTCTCAGCAGAACGTGTGGGAGAGGATCTGCGAGAGTTGGGTGTAGTTCCTGGAAGAAGCTGTTTGTGAGCTTCCTTGTGACCGTAGCGTTCCTTGTGATTCACGAATCGGCATCTCTTTCCGTTAATGTAGATTTCGCACATTGGAGACCTGCCGTTGGCACCAAAAGTACAAAATGCCTTCTGACGGAAGCGGCCCGTGATGAAAATCCCCCCCATGCCGCAGGCTCTCGCGGTCGTCAAAGAAAAAAAAACGCATCGACCTGGAAGTTTCGTTTGAATTTGACTACATCCAGCGGGGATCGAAAGTTCGTTTCTTGCATAAACAAGACGTCCATCCCCTGAGACTGAGCGACCGCTAGGATGTTGTGCTGTTTGACTCTGTTTCGGAACCCGCGAACATTCCGGGTAGCGAATTTAAAGAAAGACATCGCCAGAGCACGCGAGCGACGGACACGGTGTAAAAAACTGTTAGCCGCTTGCACTAAAAAAAAAGGGGGGAGTTTGTCGCCGAAGCCACGAAGTGTACGATGCATCACGGCCATCATCCGCCAATTTAAACACAAGATCTGACTGGGGAAAAGAAAAAAAGAAAAAAAAACTAAAATTTAGCCAAGGTCCACGCGGGCTGCGTCGCCGCAAAACACAAGGGGGAGCCAGGAGGATTCTGTGAAAAGAAAACCACACCCGGCACAGAGGACGCGAACAGCGTCTGCGCACTCTAGGCGCAAAGGCGCGGCGCGTCCGAGGCACGCGAAAACCCCCGCCCCCCCCCCGCCCCGGCACCGCATGGCGCCAAGACGCCAGCAGCCTACTCGATTGTTTCACCGCCATCCGCGGGGGCGTCCCCCTTGGTAACGGCGTTCTTACCCAACCTCGGGGCCTTCGCCCTAGGCGGGGCGTCGCTGTCACTGCTGCTGACTTCGAGCCCGGTCCGCCGCTGCCTCGCCTCACGGGCGGGGGAACCCTCACTGGAGTCGCGCTGCTGCTCGTCTCCTTGACGACGACGCGAGCGAGACCTCGGCTCGCGGCCCGTGTCACGACTTGAGGCCTGCGCGCCCGAATCGCGACCAGCCCCGTCTCCACGGCGACGACACGAGCGCGAGCGAGATCTCCGCTCGCGGCCAGACGCCGGGTGGACCAAGGGCGGGTCCGGTCTCCGGCCCTTATGGGGTGCAACCCGCTCGGGGAAAGGGTCTGACGAAGCGCGGTCGTCGACTTCAGGCAGGGCGTAGTGCCCGCGGCTCCCGATGGGCCTGTCATCCCGGGCCGGGGCTTGCGGAAGCCCTCCCAAATCCTGTGCCTTGACAGGGGCCAGCACGTTGGCCGGCTCGTTGGAGACGGGGTGACTTGTCTCTTCTTGCTCAGGAGGCGCCGGAGACGCGTCCTCTGAGGTAGCCGAACGCGAGCAGTCCTTGTCGCCCGATGGGCTTGCGGGTGACGTAAGGGACGCTGATCGCGTTGGGCCCGTCTCGATATCGGTTGTATCTGCGCCAGAAGACGCCGACGCCGAAGCAACGGAGGCAGACGCTCCGCGCGTCTCTTCCTCGACACATGAAGACGCCGCGCTGCTGCCTGAGCTCGAGTCTGAGTCCCCGTCGCGACGCCAAGAGAGTAGTCCCTTTGCGGTCGTGCGGGGCGCGGTCTTAGGCGTGAGGACCTGAAGACGCGAGGATGTCTCACCCGACCTCGGCGAAGGGGCGCCGGATGACTGGCTAGGTGCTGCGTTGGTGACTGGCAGCGCTGATGAACCGCGGGCAGCGGCCGCGTAGGAACGCCTGCGGAAACTTCGCGCGTCCCGTGACGGCCCCCGCAACGCGTGCACTCGGCTGTGCAGCCCTCCGTGTCGTGGCCGAAGACGCCACAACGCTTGCAAAACGCGCACACACGGTGAATCTCGCGGTACTCGAACATCACTCGGTGGCCCGCGATGGTAACGAAGTTGGGCACCGGTCGACTCATCTCTATTTTCACGACTCGAACGCCGCTAAGTTTGTTAAAACGCGTGGTTACAGGGGCAAAAGAAATACCCTTAATTTTACCGTACTGCGCAAGGGCGTTGCCAAGCGTCTCGTCGGACATGTACACAGGGTACCTGTAAACGTTTACGAACGTGACCGGCGGTCCACAGCCTCCACTGTCACTTTGACATTGTTGACTGTGAAACCCTCACCCACCATAAGTTTTGTGGCTTGGGCAACAGTACGCGTGCACACCAAAAACTTCGATCCTCCCATGTGTTGAAGTACATGAACGCTATAGTCGCCCGCGGTGCACTCAATTGCGTCAATCAAGTCGTCTATCGACAAATCGCCTTCCGGCGCATTAAAGAAAAAACAATTCTTCCTCACCGGGAGGTTTGTTGATGCTGCCGTCATGGGTGGCACTGGTGGACCCTTCTCCGGGATAGGAGAGGGGGGCGTGACTGGTGAAACACAGCTGGGCTGCGTACTAGTAAGCGGGCTCAGCAAGCGCTGGGTCCGAGTTCAGGTTGGTGTCGGTAGACGGCGGGACGGAGGGCACCGGCGCGGCAGGCGGGTTCCGAGGTCCTCACGTCTCCAGGCATAGAGGAGGGTCGCCGAGCAAGAGGGCCCGGTACCAAGGTCCGGGTGCGGCAGGCTAGGCCAGCAGGGCTCCCGCGAAAAGGCTGGATCTCTTTTGGGTTCGCAAGGACCCGGGGGTCGACGTCAGCGTGACGGGATCCCAGGGTAGGCCCGTTGACTCGTTGCAGAAACGGCTCACTCGGCAATTTGATCTAAGCCAAAAGGCCAAGAAGCGACGCAATTCATTAGCACGTAATTAAAATTCGTTCTTTCACACCTCCTACTTATTTCTGGCCAAAAGCCGGGCAAACAGTAGCAAAGCAATTCCGACGTCCACCCATGCACAACCAGAATTGTGCACCGAAAGCGGCAGCGCTGGCTTCACGGCATTGCTTTTATCCCTAGTCCGCTTGAAGTTTCTTGTTTCGCTTACAAACATGTTAAAACTGAAACCTTCTTTTTCCCAGAGGTCGAAGCCACGCGTGCTTGCTTGCACACGTACTCTCAATTGCGCCCATGACGTCACAACAAATGCTTGCCGGCGAACATTATCAGGCATGTCGCGAGAGATGCTACAGCACTTGTTTTAAAAACTGATGCAATGTGTACATGTCCAACTCGAGCACCAAAGCCTGGAAGGAAAAAATAATGACTGTGCAAAATGTGACTACGTTACCCATCCAACATGGCTTCTACGCTGGCTGCCCAAGCAACGCCTCTGCAACGACGCCCCCAATCATCGGCAAAGAGGTGGTGCCTTTGGCTGCTTCAGCACGCTCGACGTATGCCTTGCAAGTTCCGACGTGGCGGAACACCGCACCGAAGTCGACGAAGGTACTGCCGTGAAAGGCAGACCCGGGAATGCGTGCGAAACGTCTACAGCGTGCGTTGTGATGCCGGGGAATGAAGGGTCACGTGGCAGAGGGTGACGGAACGTGAGTGTGCGACATGACACTGCGATGTCGTTCAAGCGTTCAACGGGCCCGCAGGCTCTTCCTGTCGTGGTCGAAAACGTCCAAATTTTGCTGATACCGAGGGGTAGGAGGGCTATGGTGGCGTGTACGAGGCGCTGTCGCGGCGCTCCGTCGATCGTGCCGGACATGAGGCGGCAGAAGGCAGTCGTCAAGGGTTCGCGTAAATCAGTGGAGAAGCACTCGCCTGCGCTTTTCATTGAATTCCGATGAGTAAGGTGCGAAAGGACTCGCGACAGAAGGTCTTCGGGTCTTGTGGGAGACGGGTGGTTGCACAAATGCGACTGTGCGTCAACGTGCAGCCATATTCGTGGATTATTTCACCCCACTACGATAGCCACTACGATAGCTTCGTCACTGCGCTCGCTGGTGTTGCTTGTTTTTGTTGACCTTCACTTGTGGCTCACACCCACTGTTCGGGATTGGCCGGTTTGTTGTTGTGCTTCTTCGACTTCTACATATTCGGCTTAGTGAAGCTGTGGGGAGTGATGAGTGGGTGCAGAGACAAAGCACAGCACAGCCCGCCCGGGGCGTGATCTCACGCGTCCTAGGTTCCACAGCGCTTCAGGTACGTGCGTAATGCGTCCGTTGATTGATTGATATGTGAGGTTCAACGTCCCTAAACCACCATATTGTCACGTGATCACAGAACGACCACAACGTCTGTTCACAGGAGCAGCACTGGACGTCGAGCCAAACCGAACGTTAGAGCACGAGCACACACCAACCGTCCTCTTCTTCTTTCTCACCATGGCACATACTCGCATTGGCGTGGCTAAACCTCGTTCCATGCCTGTGGCATCACCCCCTTCGAAAAAAAGTACCACCCCGATGACCAATGCCGTATAAAAGTTAAAGTAGTCGCGTACACGAGCAAAGACGCGTGAAGAAGCAGTGTCAGGTGGCTCGGGGATAGTGTGGCTTCATCCGTGACACATGAACAATGTCGGGCTGCTGGGAACATCGAGATCGCTGAGCTGTGTCTTCAAGCAGAATTTCGTAGTTGACATCTGTGAGGCGCCGTAGTACTCTATAGGGACCGAAGTAGCGGTGAAGTAAGTTTTCCGAGTGGCCCCTTTTGCGAACGGGGATCCACAGCCAGACCAGATCACCGGGTTGGTAAATGACATGGCGATGACGTGAGTTGTACCTCTGCGAGTCGATTCGTTGTTGTTTTCGGATCCGCTTGAGTGCAAGCTGGCGGGCCGCGTCGGCGAGCCGGAGAAAGTCGTTCGCATCAGTAGTAATATCGGTCGTGTCAGGCAACAGCATGGCATCAAGCATCGTAATTGCTTCTCGGCCGTGAAGCAACCGGAATGGAGTGAAACCCGTAGTCTCTTGAACCGCAGTGTTGTAAGCGAACGTTACGTATGGCAAAATTGCGTCCCAGTTCTTGTGATTACGGTCGACGTACGTAGATAGCATGTCAGCGAGCGTCTTGTTTAATCTCTCCGTCAGACCGTTGGATTGTGGATGGTATGCGGTTGTTTTGCGATGAGCTGTTCCACTAAGTCTCGTAACGTCTTGCATCAATGGGCTGTAAAGGCTGTTCCACGGTCAGTGATAAGAACTGTTGGCGCTCCATGGCGGAGGACGATGTTGTTGATAAAAAATACGCAACCTCATTGGCGGTGCCTCGTTGTAGGGCTTTCGTTTCGCAGTACCTCGTTAAATAGTCAGTAGCGACTACGATCCAGCGGTTGCCATCATGTGACTTCGGGAAGGGCCCAAGCAAGTCCATGCCGATTCGTTCAAACGGTTGTGACGGGGGTGCAATAGGATGTAATAAACCAGCAGGGCGCACAGGTGGCGCTTTACGGCGCTGGCAATGATTGCATGTTTTAACGTAATGCTTGACATCCTGGGTGAGCTTTGGCCAGTAGTAGCGAGTCCAAATCTGGGCAAGGGTACGTGCGAATCCTAGGTGGCCGGAGGAAGGCTCGTCGTGGCAGGCAGATAAAATGTCAGCACGTAGCCCTGGTGGAACGACGAGGAGGTACTCAGTCGCATAAGGTTCGAAGTTCTTTTTGTAGACGATGTCGTTGCGGAGACAAAATGACCCTGAACGTGCAAATGCCGATGGTGGATTCGAGCTGCGACCTTGAAGGTATTTGATAAGTTGTTGGATCTCTGAATCATTCCACTGTTGTTGGGCCAAGTCAGATTCATTGACTGCACAAAGAAAATGGCCATCGGTATCATCGTTCCTCGATGTCGTCGCGAGGGGTGCGCGCGAAAGGCAATCAGCATCAGAGTGCTTGCGGCCCGACTTGTAGACGACTGTAACCTCAAATTCTTGAAGGCGTAAGCTCCATCTCGCGAGGCGCCCTGAAGGGTCCTTGAGATTGGCCAGCCAACAGAGGGCATGATGGTCCGTAACTACTCTGAATGGACGGCCATACAGATACGGTCGGAACTTTGTTATCGCCCAAATAACAGCAAGACATTCCTTCTCCGTGGTCGAGTAGTTAGTTTCCGCAGATGACAAAATGCGGCTAGCATAAGCGATGGGACGTTCAGCGCCGTCTTGCCACTGGACGAGTACTGCACCAAGACCGATGTTGCTTGCGTCAGTGTGAAGTTCGGTGATGGCATCTTCATCAAAGTGCCCTAGTAAGGGTTCACTCTGAAGGCACTGCTGAAGCTGGGAAAAGCGGCTCTCTGCTCTGGACCCCACACGAAAGGAGTATCCTCCTTCGTTAAACGGGTAAGGGGTTCAGCGATGTTGGCAAAGCTCTGGACAAAGCGCCTGTAGTAGGCGCAGAGACCCAAAAACCGGCGCAAATCCCGTTTGTTCGAAGGTGGAGGAAATGCAGCAACAGCCATGGTCTTTTCTGGGTCTGGTCTAATGCCATCGTGACTGATAAGGTGGCCGAGGAACTTTAGTTCTTCGTAGCCGAAATGACACTTCTCCGGTTTTAGAGATAGGCCTGCAGATCGAATAGCGACGAAGACGGACTGAAGTCGTTGTAAATGTTGCTCAAATGTTTTGGAAAAAACAACGACGTCGTCTAAATACACGAGGCAGGATTCCCACTTCAGACCGGACAGGACGGTGTCCATCATCCTTTGGAACGTTGCCGGTGCAGAGCACAATCCAAATGGTAACACTTTGAATTCATAGAGGCCATCGGGAGTTATGAATGCTGTTTTTTCCCTGTCACGTTCATCGACCTCGATCTGCCAGTAGCCGCTGCGTAAATCCATTGAGGAAAAATATCGGGCATGTCGAAGTCGATCCAGTGAGTCATCTATGCGTGGGAGAGGGTAGACGTCTCTCTTCGTCACTTTGTTGAGCTTCCGGTAATCGACGCAAAATCGAAGAGTGCCGTCTTTCTTTTTAACAAGTACGACGGGTGACGCCCATGGACTGTTCGAGGTTGGATGACGTCGTCGTCGAGCATCTGTTTCACTTGAAAACGTATTGCCTCTTGTTCTTTCTGCGACA